AATCACAGTGTAAGTCTACAGGAAATGCATTAATGATAATACGTTTTAAAAAACTATTTTGTATCCAACTGCAATTTTTAGAAAACGTAGAATGTAAACCAGCATCCTTTCTTATTTGTGCCTTTTGTTGCAGAGTTCAAATAGTTGCTAGACCGCAAGTAGCATAATAGCGAAGGGTTTTTCTTCTAATTTAATGTGGGCATTGAATTAATATGGGCTAAACTGAAATAGCAGCACAAAAGGCAACGACCAGAAAGCTTATCTGGAGCTGCTGCGCATTTCTACAGTGATTTATGACATGAGTCATTGAGTATATGAGAGAGAAAAACTCCTGTTCTCCCAGCAGTGAATATGGCCTGAAAGAAAGATATATTTATCCTCAGAAGCTTCCATTGCCCATTTAAAACTCAGCTGCCCATTACTTAACATTTGTAATTCAACATCTCTGTGTGAAGTCAAAGGAAACTGCAGCTTCAGAGCATCTCGAAATATTAATAGATGTTAGTGTGCTTAAAATCTCATTCAGGGCTGGTGTATCTTTACTGAAGAGGAGTAGGAATAAATGCTTCCTAGCTAGGACTAAATTAATGCAAAGCACTAAACTACACATTGATTCAGCTTACATGCACACAACATCTGGTGAAACTGTATAGTATTATTTTTTATTATGATTTGCCTGGTCTGTTTGTGAGTCCCACTGATTTTTTAAAAGATCTTATTATGGGGCACTTCAGACATAATTCTTCCTCTAAAAACACAGTTAATAGACGAACAGCTTGCATTCAGGGCTTAGAACCATTAAAAACCCCTATGGATGGAGATGAAAGAAACAGTTTTTGTTCATTCTCCTTTTCTCCTTCACCCTCCAATATCACCCTCTGCACTGCTCCAAATCGTTCCTCAATCCCACAGCAGAGTTTTAAAGGACAGAAGAGAAATAAGGCAGCCCCATTGAACTCTGTTTCCAATTCATTGCTTTCAGTTATTTAGGTCAGCTTTTATCACCTGCAGGCTTCTGGATACACTGGATTGTAATTCTTAAAATCTCATTTATCTGGAGGGCATCGGTATGAGTTAGACATTTCAATTGTGCCATGTGTTCTACTGACAATTATACATTGAACTAAGGCATTATCAGATTCATGGCCTCAAGTTTTAAAAATTGTATTTTGTATGCGTCACTTGGCCCTATTTAGCGCAATTGTTTTTATGTGACTTCAAATTGCATGTCACAGGGAGTTCTTGGGGAGCTTGATTCAAAGGAGGTTTGACATTGCCTTCTTCTAAAGCTGAGACTCAATGCATTTCTATGGCAGGGCTGAGATTTGAATCCTTGTCTCCCAGGGCCCTTCCACACAGCCACATAACCCAGAATATCAAGGCAGAAAATCCCACAATATCTGCTTTTAACTGGGTTATCTGAGTCCACACTGGCATATATTCCAGTTCAAAGCAGAAAATGTGGGATTTTATTCAGCAGTGTGGAAAGAGGCCCCAGAGTCCTAGTCCTACATCTCATTGGGGTTTAAATGCCCTTTTTTTGCCTCTTTTGGATGGGACCTGCCGAGCACCATCAGATAACGCTTCCCCCATTCTTCCCAAAGTGAAGGGGAAGCACCCCAAGACACTTCCTCTGCCACCATGAAGAGGACAGTGTATTTTGGACAGCTCCGATGGAACTTCCTGCATTTTATTTAATAAAAATATAATAATAATACTTTATCTATAGGCCTGCAGGGGCAAACCAAGAATGGGCAACTTGGAAGTCCCTGAACAGACTCAGAAGTGGAGTGGGCAGATCAAGAGACAACCTGGCAAAATGGCGCTGCCTAAAAGAATCACACACCTTATGTGACTGTGGAGCAGAACAGACAACTCCGCACCTGTATGCTTGTCCACTATGCCCTGCCTCATGTATGGAGGAAGAATTGTTGGAGGCTACAGGCAATGCTATTACTCTTGCCCATTTTTGGTCAAAAGATATTTAGCCACCTGAGCTCCTTCTATTTTTATCGGTTTTATACTAATTTATGCAATGCTTTTGATACGAAATTTTAAAAAATTATAGGCCGCCCTATCTCCCCAAGGGGACTGATGGGGGGAAAGGGCAACACGGCAATGTTTCACCCATATGATGGGGACAGGTACAGGGTGCCTTGTCCTGCCCCAACAATGTGATGGGGGAAGGAGGGAGGGCATAGGGGGTGCCACAAGATGCCCTGCATACCTGCCCTTTTGCTGGGGACTGTTGGTGAAACAGTATGTCCCCAGGGGCCATGTTAAGAGATCCCCATACTCAAGGGACAACCTCTATTTTTTATCATTTATCTCAGGCTAATAGTTGTCACAACAGCATGGTTTAGTTCCCTCCCCAGTACCATCACAGATTAATGTATTTCTATAAAAGTCTCCTTACTCAGAAATAACTATGTCTAGCATTGCAGTCAATTGCCAAATTTCTACATCTGGTATCGTAGCCATTTGCATATGAAAGAATGTAAACTGTTCAGGGCTTGGCCTACCATGTCAGACACATTACAGCTGCTGAGATATACTTTATGTCTGTCACCAAATACTAAACACTTCCTCTGGTTTCAAAATTAATGGGGGCAAAGACTATTGCAAAATGGATAAACGCGGTGTGTGGCACTTGGAGAAATGTCTTCCGTTTTGTCTGTGTTATGAAAACTGGACTGGTATAAGCACATCCCTATTTTCATCTACTAAATGTCCTTAGCTCTATTGTTCCCAATGTAGATTAAATTCTAGTTTTGCAAAGAATGTTTTATCTTTGGGATGGCAGGGATGAACAGGGTTCATTGACATTTGGGGGCATTCTCACTCTCACTAATCTCTGGTGTTATGTTCCAGGACCACCCGCAAAAAGTGAAAATCCGCAAAGTAAGGACAATATACATGTATATCGCGTTACAAGGGTGAGGCAGAAGCAAAGAGAGATTTAAAGGCACCATGCACTTTTTTTTTTTTGGCTAGATATCTCTGCTTTGCTTTGCAATCTCCCTTGATTGGCTGCCTCTCTCCTGAGGGAGGCAGGATTAGAATGCCACTCTGGGCAATGGCAACCATTCATAAACTGGGAGGCAAAACCCCGCAAAACAGCGAGTCCACGAAAAGCGAACCACAAAGTATCAAGGCAACACTATATACAGAATAGCAGTATTCTTCCATTTACATAACATGACTGCATTCAGTGGAAGCGAAGCCAGATGTTTGTAATTTGGGGATATACTAGAGTTCTTTGGCTGAGTATTCTAAATAGCCCTTCCCAAACTGTAAATCCCAGGATACTGTTGTGGCCATTAAAATAAGCCCCAGCTAATTTTAATTTTAAAGCATCACATAAATGTTGATGTTCTATTGGTAGCTGACAATATTCTCATTATGGACGTCTTAGACATTTCACCCCCCATTTGAAGTACTGACAAAGGACAGTTATCACAACAGTGTTGTTTCAATGGATATCTGAAAACTGGATTAACAGGAAGCCTCATAATTCTGGGGTAGAGCAAATGACTTCCATGCAAAAGGTCCCAGGTTCAAACTGTGGCATCTTCAGATTGGAATGAACACTGTCTTACCTGAAACGCTACCTGAGGAGTTGTTTCCCAAAGTGTACCCTTTTTGACGTTACTGGATTGCAGCCCCCAGCAGCGCTTACCAGCATAGCCAATAGCAAAGGATACTAGGAGATGCAGTTCAATAACATCTAGCACAGTGGTTCTCAAGTGGTGGGTCCCCAGATGTTTTGGCCTTCAACTCCCAGAAATCCTAACAGCTGGTAAACTGGCTGGGATTTCTGAGAGTTGTAGACCAAAACACTTGGGGACCCACAGGTTGAGAACCACTGATCTAGCAGGTTGCAATTTCTTCAACTTGTCCTCTATGATTGTGGCACTTGAAGAAGATAAAGTTTTTAATTCCTGGCCACATTGCAACACTCGACACTATATGCAATCTAATTTTTTAGATTTTTAGTATTGAGAACTGAAGTACAAAAAGATCTGGGGATGCAAGTACAATATACTGAGATTTTGACCAGGTATTTGGAACACTGCTTTAGGAGTTACCTGGAAACAACCTGGGCACCAAGGTATGGTCTGAGAATACAGGATGCAGATGTGAAGCAGTTTTTGATCTTTGCCTGAATGGGAGATTGCCTTTATAGAAACAAGCAGTATTTAAACACACAGACACACAATAATCATACCTGTTCCTTCAGAGGTACCAGAGCTGGTAAACAAACCAAGTTGTGGACTTGGGAACTGTCTGCCCACAAAACCTCTGTGCTGTCAAGACGAAGCCAATTAATCCACACTAATCCCATCCGCCATTGTATCTGTATACCAAAGTGTGCACAGCAATCTACGCAATCATTACAGAGAAATTCATTCAACACCCAAGTCTCAGGATCAGTGATTGCATTGGATTTGGAATTTCGAGATTGGATTTGGAATGGATTCTGAATATCTTCTTTAATCGGAATCACTGGACTATAAGTAATCCGCAAAAGGTCATTTGGACTAACCACAAGTCCAGTGAATTCCCTCAGGACTGGACACAGAATAGTAACTTATTTTAATAAACTAATTTTAATAATAAATTTTAACGCTCTTGTCAGTGCTGTTTCCAGAGTTTGTCTTGGGGTTTTTTTTTTGTATCATTACACACAACTGTTTACAGTTCTAAATGTTTTGGGGTGTTTATTGGTCAAATGTGGAGGTTATCTTATGAAGACTGTGAACTTTGGCATAAATATTTGGAAGCGTGGCACATTAAACTCAGTGTAATTTATTTTCCAGCAAGACATGGAAACCACTGAATCTGTGTAGAACTGTCCCAATTGTGAGGCTGACGTGACAACTCAGTAGTTCTTTTAGGTGTTTGATAACAGGTTAAGAGGCTATGCAGGACGCATGTGATATAAATACACAGCTGCAAAGGCACTAATCTCTCTTGCTCTCTCTCTCTCTGTTTCACAGGCTTCTGCCGTACGGCTTGGTCACTTTGGATACACTCTGATAATCTGATTAGGAGATTTCCCTGAACAACATTTCTTAGTGCTGTAGTGACCATGGCTGTCCTTAAAGTAAAATTCACCAAAACAAAGAGAGACAAGTTGGCTCAGATCTTGTGGATCTTGAACTGGGTTTCTGTGGTGTCCGGTGCAATTCTCTTCAGCCTAGGACTCTTTCTCAAAATAGAAATCAGGAAGCGCAGTGAAGTGATGGCCAAAGGAGACGTCAACTCTGTCCCCAATATGCTAATCTCTGTAGGAGTCATTGCCTGCATTATCAACTTCCTTGGAGGAAAAATCTGCTATGACTGCACAGACATCAACAAGTTTAACCGATGGAAGCTGGTCATGCTCCCATACATTGTATGCACATTCTGTTTCACCTTTTGCATCTTGGTGGGTGGCATTATGTGTTACACCATGAGAAATGAGCTGGAGGAATCTCTATACCTGGGACTGAGAGATGCTATCAAGTTCTACAAGGATACCGATATCCCCGGAAGGTGCTTTTTAAAGAAAACTATAGATGCATTACAGATTAGATTCCAGTGCTGTGGAAACAATGGCTTCAGGGACTGGTTCGAAGTTCAGTGGGTCTCGGTTCGCTATCTGGATATGGCTTCAAGGGATGTTCTAGAGTAAGTATTACCTTGAAATATTATTTTAGAACTCTGTTACCCAAAACAATGGTCTTTTCTTAAGCAAACATATCAGAGAAGGTAATCACAAAACACCATACTTACTCTCGACCAGAAAGTGCCTCCTGAGTGTCAAATGCAACATCCTAAGTCTCCACCTAGAGCCCCCAGTGGCACAAGGGATTAAACCTTTGAGCTGCTGAACTTGCTGATCAAAAGGTCGGCAGTTCGAATCTAGGGAGCAAGGTGAGCTCTTGCTGTTAGCCCCAGCTTCTGCCAACCTAGCAGTTTGAAAACATATAAGTGTGAGTAGATCAATAGGTACTGCTTCTACAGGAAGGTAATGATGCTCTGTGCAGTCATATTGGCCACAAGACCTTGGAGATGTCTACAAACAATGCAGGCTCTTCGGCTTATAAATGGAGAGGAGCACCACCCCCCAGAGTTGGACACGACTGGATTTAATGTCAAGGGGAAACCTTTATTTTTACCTAAGTCTCCACCAAGAAAATTTCCCCAAATTAAAAATAGTCAACAATTTTTTTGCTCAACATCAACACAAAATCTCCAAAACCATGATAGTATGTGTACTCTTGTTTCCTCAGAAAACCATTCTCCATCCCAGAAGCATTATAAAATATCTCCAACTTTGGGTTTTGGCTGAAATGGAAAACCAATTATGAAGGCAATTCCAGTTGAGCCAAGAGAAAAACTATGGCCCATCAAGGCGGGGGGGGGGGGGATGGGGTGTGTGGGGAGAACATGCACCCCCCACTCAATTGTCCATCTTTATACAGATTCTAATTAGTTCAAGAAACTACATTTTCAAAAGGAGACTAATATTAAGATCCACAGATGGGGAAACCAAAATAGTACCCAGCCTTGAAACAGCTGAAGGACGCTCAAATTAGAAAAGGGCAAATTGGAACAAGTCATGTCACCTGTCTTCAAATATCTGAATGACTGTTGGGTGTTTCATCCCTGGACTGCACAAGTCTCTTGTGTCATCAAGTCTCCAGTCCTCAATAAGTAGCTAGACTAAAGACAGGACTAGAGTGAGGTATTCCTCCCCCCACGTTCCTATGCATGCTTCTCCCAGAAGGGGTTTGTTTTTGCCACTATCTCCTCCCCCTTTGAAGATGTAGCAATGGAATCTCTGTGAGGTCACTTCCTTTTTAAAGGTATTTTTATTGCCCTGGGCTTGGCCATGCGGCCATCCTCCATTGACCCTTCCTTCTGTCTTTTACTTCCATCCAGTGAAGATGCAATTTGCCTCTCTCTCTAGGCAAAATGTAACTGCATGGATATTTTGACTTCTTATCCTTTTACCTTTCTTAGAATATGAGATTTAGTAAGCTAGTTAGCTCCAAGACCTTTTTCTATCTAGAATGTATTTAAATATTTTGAACCTAAAGTTCTAACTCTACAATCCTGGGCCATCCTGATGAATGGAAGCTTATCCTAGCTCACCACATGTAAGTTTCTGCTGGTTATGAAGTTTACTTCTAGTACTCTGCTACATTTATGGTAGAATTACCCCAACTGAGAGGTATTTTGAGCCGAACAGCTCAGATTCCCCAACAATAACTTATGCTGACGATAAAGCAGACACATGCTTTAATTTCTCATGATTTGTGGAAATGACTGAGATTTTTATATATTTTTTCTGCACCTTGCGTCTATTCTGGAAAACTTCATTTCTTTGTAATACTAAATTATGGTACAATCCTACTTTACCAGGCTGATATAAGGATTACCGAAATATTGTCGGTAACGCACATCAGAGGTATTACGTATAGATGCCTGTCATAGGTATATAGCAGGCATGGGCAAATTTGGGCCCTCCAGGTGTTTTGGACCAACTCCCACAATTCCTAACAGCCTCAGGCTTTCCCCCCTCAGTCGCTTAAGCAGACTCTCCAACCTCTGAGGATGCCTGCCATAGATGTGGGCGAAACGTCAGAAGAGAATGCTTCTGGAACATGGCCATACAGCCCAGAAAACTCACAGCAACCTATTATTAATGTTGCCCATTATTAGCAAAGTATCACATTACTAATATTTTACTTTTTATAGGATTTGAGTTTACATTATTTTTTAAAAACACAGCTAGAAATGCTTAAATCACCACAAATTTCTGAAATCTACATTTTATGAGTAAACATTTCTTGACACACTGTAACAGTCGTAATGCTACCAGCTGTAATGTTTGGGAATTATTTTTTTCTTTAACTTTGAAAAGTGCCAAAATTGATGCAAACACTGACTAAAGCATCACAGAGAATGGGTTGTTGTGAGTTTTCTGGGCTATATGGCCATGTTCCAGAAGCATTCTCTCCTGACATTACGCCTACATCTATGGCAGGCATCCTCAGAGGTTATGAGGTCTGCCATAGATGTGGGTGAAACGTCAGGAGAGAATGCTTCTGGAACATGGCCATATAGCCCAGAAAACTCACAGCAACCCAGTGATTCCGATCATGAAAACCTTTGACAACAGATCATCACAGGGAATGTTGTTTGAACCAGGACATTCAAAATTATCAGAGCCTTATTTGAATTCCAATGATCAACTAATTGCATTTCTTTTGTTACAATAACCATTCCTAAATCCAAAATCCTCTATTATTTAAAATCTTAGGTAAAATCATAAGCCTAGGCATTTTAAAAATATCTGTTTATTTAAAGCTATAAATTCTGACCATGTCATTTAAGTTATCACAGAATCATACAATCCTAAAGTTGGAAGAGACCTTGTGGACTATCCAGTCCAGCCCCCTGGCAAGAAGCAGGAAAATTGCATTCAAAGCACCACGGAAAGATAGCTACCCAGCCTCTGCTTAAAAGCCTCCAAAGAAGGAGCCTCCACCACACTCCAGAGCAGAAAGTTCCACTGCTGAACAGCTCTCACAATCAGGAAGTTCTTTCTAATGTTCAGGTGGAATCTCCTCTCTTGTAGTTTGAAGCCATTGCTCCGCGTCCTGGTCTCCAGGGTAGCAGAATACAAGCTTGCTCCCTCCTCCCTATGACTTCATCTCACATATTTATACATGACCATCATGTCTCCTCTCAGCTTTATCTTTTGCAGGCAAAACATGGCCAGCTCTTTAAGCTGCTCCTCATAGGGCTTGTTCTCCAGACACTTGATAATTTCACCCTCTTCTGGAAATATTCCAGCTTTTCAACATCTCCCTTCAATTTCGGTGCCCAGAACTGGACACAGTATTCCAGATGTGGTCTAACCAAGGCAGAATAGAGGGGATACATGACTTCCCTGGATCTAGACAGTAAACTCCTATTTATGCAGACCAAAATCCCATTGGCTTTTTTAGCCGTACCATCTACTTTGACTATTAATGCTGTTCGAGGCTAGCTTCAAACTGCGGCAGCCAGACAACAAACTTCTGCAAATGCTCCCTGAAGAAAGCCCTTAACGTGCACCAATGCTCTGTGGTTTGTGTAATCACCACCCAGGTCTCACACTGGTTCCAGAATTGGGTTTTTGTAGTTTTTTCAGGCTATATGGTCATGTTCTATAAGCATTCTCTCCTGACGTTTCGCCTGCATCTATAGCAAGCATCCTCAGAGGTTGTAAGATCTGGTTCCAGAATTTCCTATATAATCATTTGCCCAGCGAAACCAGTTTTGAAGCTACATCAAATGGTCAACGTAGATGTGCAAATGTAGAAGCATTTTTTCCCCTTTTAACGTAGGTGCTTTAAAATAATTCAAATGCTTATTTCTCTTCTTCCAACTTTTCTGTTACGGCAAAAAAGAAATGGTTGCTTTTAGAAAACTTGATCTGAGGAATTTTCCCAACACACAATTACAGCACAGAAGATTGGGTTCATGGCACCTGCTGGCTCTGCTAGGCAAAATAGATTATTTTGTTGTTCTTGTGTGTCTTCAAGTTATGTCCAACTTATGGTACCCTATCAAGATTTGTTCAGGAGGGATTTCCATTGCCTTCCTCTAAGGCTGAGAGAGTGTGACCTGCCCTAGTGCTGTAACTACAACTGTAAAAAAGAACTCTGAGCCATGAATCTCTCTTACGAAAACCTATTTTCTCCCCTTTATTGCAGCCGCCTGAAGAGTAACGTGGATGGGAAGTTCTTGGTGGATGGTGTCCCCTTCAGCTGTTGCAACCCAAACTCCCCCAGGCCCTGCATTCAGTATCAGCTCACAAACAACTCAGCTCACTACAATTATGACTTCCTGACAGAAGAACTTAACATTTGGATCAAAGGATGCAGGGAAGCCCTACTGGATTATTATACTGACATCATGAGATCCATTGGCATCACTGTGCTCATCATCTGGTGTTTTGAGGTAAAGTATGAAGCGCACATTTTTCAGCATTCCCTCATTCACAACTCTGTGATTTGTCAGAAGGATACAGAGGATGAATGGTCAAAAGTGATTGCATTGGCCCAACGCTTACGCACTTTATCCTCAACTGATGTTCTTGCCGAATGAACATAGCCTCCCACAAACCAATTTGCAATTATTGAAAGTTAAAATTATTGAAAGTTAAAAGATTATGGAGAATAACATGGTGTATGGGATATTATTAGCATAGAATCATAGAGTTGGAAGAGACCTCGTGGGCTACCTAGTCCAACCCCCTGCCAAGTAGCAGGAAAATTGCATTCAAAGCACCCCCAACAGATGGCCATCCAGCCTCTGTTTAAAAGCCTCCAAAGAAGGAGCCCCCACCACACTCCGGGGCAGAGAGTTCCACTGCTGAACAGCTCTCACAGTCAGGAAGTTCTTCCTAATGTTCAGGTGGAATCTCCTTTTTTGTAGTTTGAAACCATTGCTCCGCATCCTAGTCTCCAGGGCAGCTGGAAACAAGCTTGCTCTCTCCTCCCTTTGACTTCCTCTCACATACTTATACAAGGCTATCATGTCTCCTCTCAGCCTTCTCTTCTGAAGGCTAAACATGCCCAGTTCTTTAAGCTGCTCCTCATAGGGCTTGGGCTCCAGGCCCTTGATCATTTTAGTCACCCTCCTCTGGGTGTCAATATCTATCTTCAATTGTCGTACCCAGAATTGGACACAGTATTCCAGGTGTGGTCTAACCAAGGCAAAATAGAGGGGTAGCATGAAACTACATGCATGCACATACACAGAGAAACACTAAGAAGTTATTAATGACTTAGATGAAGGGTTAGAAGGCATGATCATCAAGTTTGCAGATGGCACCAAATTGGGATAGCTAATACCCCAGAAGACAGGAGCAGAATTCAAAACTGATCTGAACAGATTAGAGAGATGGGCCAAAACTTGGATGGGCTTCCAACAAATACCAGAGTGGTTGAAGTCTTCCATTACAGTGCAGTATATGTCGCCTTTTTGAAGGTTTGGTTATTTGTTTTTAGAAGGCATCATCCAAATCTTCAGCCTGGTTGGGAAGAACATAGTAGACACCCCCAATGATGTCGTTGTGTGGAGATGCTGATCTCCAAGAATACACCACACAACTGGAGAACGGTGTAATGGAATCCCAAGGGTTAGCCTTTCACTATTACAGATACTGTAGGAAAGGGGGAAAACAATATAAATACTGTCCTTTGCAAAAGGAAAGCCTGATGGCCGGCTACTCCTTTTCATCACCTTCGATAATGTAGGACAAATGATAAGACTGTGATAAATGAAAGCTTCTTATGCCCACAGGTGCCAACAAGTAACTGTGACCTTGTCAGTCTGGGGCATCCAAAAATACCTGCAAATGTATCCTTCATTATCCTTCTCCGTCAGACAAGGGAAATTTCAAAGTAAAGAATAAAGGCATGATTCTTGCAAACTGCATGACCACTGGATAATTTATAAGTTTTTCAGCTGGCACAGGACAACTCCCTCCCCACTTTCAAGAAACGGCTGAAGACATACCTTTGCTGATTAATAGATGCCATCAGTATCTGTGCCCTGCTCACCCCACCAGTTCAATAGATATCTTGAGTAATAATTAATCAATTTGCCCCAAGGAAATGGGAATTTTTTGTTTCCATTCGATGTTTGATGTTTTATCTTATGTCTGTTATAACAGGCTGTGTTTTTTATTTAATTTTAGTTGTTAAGTTATAATTCATGTTTATATGTTGGGTTGTTTAAATTTTCTTATCATTGATGTATTGTTGTGGTATTTAGGCATTGAATGTTTGCCTTTTATATTTGGAATGTGCCTTGAGTCTCTTCAGGTAGATAGAGCGGAATATAAATAATAATAATAATAATAATAATAATAATAATAATAATAATATAATTATTAGGACAGACTGCATTGCTAAACTTATTGAAACCTCAACACTTTTTAGTGAGCAAATAAGCTACAATATTGTAATGTATACCCAATGACTTAGGAGTAAGCCACATGGATCTCAAAATAGTAATAATAATAATTTATTTATACCCCACCACCATCTCCCCAAGGGGACTCGGAGCAGCTGGAGTGCATGCAGAGTGCATACAGGCAGCAGAATCAAGGGAAATGTGTGCTATTTGGGTAGATTAAAATGGAAGCATTTCAGAATTAACATTTTACATGTTTCCCCAGTAATAATATTCCTTAGAAAACAGTGGTGGAATCTGGTTTTTAAAAAAGACAGAGAACTACACAAAAAGAGGACAGAAGAAATTGGAAATGCTAATGTGAAAATCATGGGAGTGGGAGAGCTTGAACCTTTGAGGGTGAAACTACCTAACTGCAACCTCTGCCTAATGCAGTGGTTCCCAGCTTGTGGTCCGTGGACCACCAGTCGTTCGCAAGAACGAAAATATGGTCCATGGCCTCACCATTACTACACTGTTGCCTTGAAACCACATGGCAACGAAGGCAACTGCTCTCGCAAAACCTTCTTATAGTACCAAGGCAACAGAGATGTTGGGAAGGGAGGGGCTGACTACCCACTAAAGGTTACTACGACCACATCAGCTGTAGATTACTAAATATAGTTTTCTGTGGGCGAGCATATGTTCTGTATCAGAAATTAGAGCTGATGTGGTCTATCCAATGAAGTTTTCTGAATCTGCACCCCAAATAACCAAACCAAATCTAAAGTTGATCAAAAAATGATTCATAACCCTTTTGGTACTAATGTTAGAGAGTGGTCCCTGGTCAAGTGGTCCCTGGTTAAGAGGTCCCTGTTCAAAGTGGTCCCTGGTCAAGTGGTCCCTGGTCAAAGTGGAAAGTGGTCCCTGTTCAAAGTGGTCCCTGTTCAAAGTGGTCCCTGGTCAAAGTGGTCCCTGGTCAAAGTGGTCCCTGGTCAAAGTGGTCCCTGGTCAAGTGGTCCCTGGTCATAGTGGTCCCTGGTCAAAGTGGTCCCTGGTCAAAGTGGTCCCTGGTCAAAGTGGTCCGTGGTCAAAGTGGTCCGTGGTCAAAGTGGTCCCTGGTCAAGTGGTCCCTGTTCAAAAAGAGGCTGGGAACCACTGATCTAATGCATCTGTGTTTGTTTAAAATTTCAGAGACAGAGTAAAGGATAAAATATTACCTTGAGAGATAGGTTAGCTAAGTATTAATATCAAATAATTCAAATGCTATAATTAAATGGAATGGGGAAAAACAAGCACAAATTGTTGTCACTGCAGTATTCCTTTTCCTCCTCCTCCATCATGACAGAAAATAATTTTTAATAGTATTACTTTGTTGATCTGTTGTGATACTAACAAAATTGCTTTATGTTCCCTTTTTCCTCCAGCTGTCTGTGTTGACTGGGGTCCGTTACCTTCAAACAGCAATGAGTAACGTCCTCCTCCTGGGTGATCCACAGAGTGATTCGGAAGGCTGGCTGCTTGAGAACAGCTTTGTAGAAACTGCTAAATACAACATCAGCGTAATTAAAAATCTTGGGAAAGCAAATCAGATATCTTCGGTTTCAGGAATCAACGACCCCAACATGAATGTTCAAACTGTAAACTATGGTCAAGAGACTGTTCCCACAAAAAGCATCCCCACAACTTAACTGGATGGAGCACAGGAGACTTTAATATGCAGTTTGATACCACAATCACAGCTGTGCATTTTGCTGTTTTTTTTCCTTTCCATGTGTGAGAATAAAACAAAAATCCCAACAGCGAACAACAACAACAACAACAATAAATAAATGACTGCCTGCAAACGGTATCCAATGATGAAGACTTCTAGAACGAGGCAAAACATCAACCTACTATCCATCTTTTCTGAATGTACTGGGTTATCTAGACTTGCTTCCGTTCTCATATATATGCACATATTCACACCACAAATTGTTTCCATAAATTGATTAAATGGCCGGGAGGATGGCTGGACTATTACAGGAGTAAAGATCAGAGCTTCAAATATGATGGCATTATGAAAAAATGTCATTCAATCTGATTGTACGTCAAGCATATTTACCCTCTTTTGATGTGACCATGTTTGCATAGGCAGAGCTCTGTAGAAGTGATCACTTCTGCTAGGAACCATGGTGGCGCAATGGGTTAAACCCTTGTGCCGGCTGAACTGCTGACCTGAAGGTCAGCAGTTCGAATTTGAGAGACAGGGCAAGCTCCCGTTGGTCAGCCCCAGGTTCCCATGCAGGGACATGAGAGAAGCCTCCCACAGGATGGTAACACATCCGAGCATCCCCTGAGCAATGTCCTTGCAGACAGCCAATTCTCTCACACCAGAAGCGACTTGCAGTTTCTCAAGTCACTTCCAACATTATAAATAAAAAAATCACTTCTGCTGTTGGCCTTTTTATCATTTGAACAGGGAGGCCTTGCTCTTGATTTGACAGATTTACCCTGCTAATTGATGTAAAGCTGGTGTGAATGTATTATGTTATCAATTCATGACCAGTTTCTCAGGAAAGGAAAATCTGTTCAGGAGAATACGTTCTTAATGTGAAGAAAAGGCTCCTTTTAAAAAGGTACGAAAACATTGGCAACTTGTCTTGCAGTGCTTCAGGAGAATTGTACCAGCTAACAAACTGTAGCATACAGATGGAAATACTGTAATAGAAAACTGGTTAACTGTTAATTCATATTTGAAAGGGTAGACTTCTGTGGATTGCTACTATTCAGTGTCACAGCGAAGGACATATTATCAGGCCTTTATCTAGAAGAAGACTGTCAGTAAAAGGAAATAATAAGAAAGAAAACGGACACACTCTGCACCTTACAAAATAGAATTTAGCATACGCTGAAATATATATACTGTAGGTGGTTTGTGGGAAATAACTAGAAGGTACTAATGTCAGTGTGTAATTCAGAACTAGGTACTGAAATAGGAAAAAAATTCAAAATCTGTATAATATATTAATAACCATTATTTGGACAGAGAGAAAGAGATTACCCAGTGCTTGTTTTTGTGTGTTTCTATATACTGACAAAGTCATCTGCAAAATAAATTGGGAGCATGTGAAAGCCCACAATAATATTAATATTTCCTTCTGTTCCTTCAAACTCCCACACTCCACATACATAAGCTATGAAAAGAATTATAGCCATAAAGCAATTCACCTTTGAAGAAGATATTTGGTTGTAGAGTTGAGTAAAACATGCCAGTGTGTTATATCTACTCTTTCAGCTAATTCTGGGAGAAGAAATGTCATAAGAATAGCTGTTTGGGGAATATTTTGGGGAATATTTTTGAACAATTAGTTACAACTTTGAAACTACTCACAATTAAGCCGACCTTTTAGTTGGTGTGGGCCTCCTGGTGGTGCAGCAAGTTAAACCACTGAGCTGCTGAACTTGCTGACCAAAAGGTTGGCAGTTTGAATCCAGGGACCGGGGTGAGCTCCCACTGGTAGGCCCAGCTTCTGTCAATCTAGCAGTTTGAAAATATGCAAATATGATATCAATAGGTACTGCTTCTACAGGAAGATAATGGCGCTCCATGCAGCCATGCTGGCCGCATTACCTTGGAGGTGTCTACGGACAACACCAGCTCGTTGGCTTAGAAATGGAGTTGAGCACCACGGCCCAGAGTCAGACACAACTAGACTTAATGTCAAGGGGAAACCTTTACCTTTACTTAAATTTGCAGTGACTGAATGTAGGATTCGATCCAGCACATTACATTGTGTTCTGTTGCTAGATAGTTAAACTAATGTTTGCTTGTGTTTAACAAATCCCCTCGGCAAAAAAGAATGATGTACTGATATGACATTTCTTCTGTCACATAAGCATATATTGTCAGTAACATGCGTAGAGGCTAAGGACATCATCTTCCGGTTTTGAAACAAATTACAATAAATGGGTATATTTTCAGGGCTGTATTGGTTATTGTCAACACGGTGATTCTAAACTTACCTGCATACCCGTTAGCATTTTTTTCTATGAATGTGGTCTGCTTCAACAATGTTACTGCACACTTGTAGAAGTGTTTTGGGTCTTTTTTTAACTGCACAAGACTTTAGGATGCCAAGAACAGCTGCCCTTTCCCCTACCTCTCCATCTTTTGGAGGTAAAGCACAGGAGGGCAAATACATGGAGATTTTAGGAAGCAGCAGCATGTAGGCTGGGAGTTGGCAAAGCATAGCCTTTGGGCTACATCCCCCACCAAGTTATTTGTGATCTGCAAGACTTTGTGACTATTTCTAGCCAAAAGAAAAAAAAAGGGGGGGGGTGCTCATTGAAACATCCAAACGTAATTCCAAGCTTGGTTGGAAATTCACTGCACATTGTAGCACTTGGTTTAGTCATTCTACCTTGTATACAAAGTGCAGCAAGTTGCACAGGCAACTAATAGGATTTCTATCCGACAGGCGCTTTCCATGTAGTCTCATCTTTTCTCTGGAGCTGGGCCCATGCAAACTGGAGGTGACCCACCAAAACTGGACACCCTGAATAGCACCTGGGAACTGGTTTTAAATAGGTTGCAGGCCAGGACCTAATTTTTTTAGACTGGAGCTGGGGTCCGATTTCTACTTCTTATTTTGGTTCCTTTTTTTGCATTTTTGAGACCGTGACCTTCTAGAGCAGTGGTTCTCAACCTGTGGGTCCCCAGATGTTTTGGTCTTCAACTCCCAGAAATTCTAACAGCTGGTAAACCAGCTGTGATTTCTGGGAGTTGTAAGCCAAAACACCTGAGGACGCACAGGTTGAGAAACACTGTTCTGGAGGGTATAAAGACCTCTACAACAGTGTTCTCCAGTCCTCACCCCTTGTGATATATACCAAATTTGGCCAATCTTGTGCTTTCCAAATGTGGTAGACTACAGCTTCTTCATCCCCAGCCAGCATGGCTAGGGTTGATGGGGGAGTCAGCACGTTACATAATGTAGGTCACTGCTTCTTAAACTGCAGAATCCTGGTCCAAAATGGGGTCTACCTCATCTCAATATCCTGAAAAATTTGGCAACAGTAAAAGGTTTCGGAACACTACCTAGACATTTACACAAATCTGTTAGTATCAATGTGCCATGTTTATGGTGGATTCGACAGAAAATGCTTCAGCTCGACTCCACAAAAAGGAAAATCAGCCTGTTTAACAAGTCTGGCAAATAGTAAATGTTTGATTTTTACATCTATTCTATATACCTATATACCCAGGGTCACATAAACATCTCAGCCGGAAAGGGGTTATGAGTGGAAAAAGTTTAAGAACCCCTGATCAAGAGCATAATGCACTATACATGTGATTGCCAGATTTTAGGGTTTAGCTCTGAGTCTCTAGTCTTCATGGGTCATCTCCAGATAAGACACAGGGGTTTAAATTCTCAATTTTTGGTGGGTTTTATCGTGTCAGAAGCGACTTGAGAAACTGCAAGTCACTTCTGGTGTGGGAGAATTGGCTGTCTGCAGTGACATTGCCCAGGGGACGCCCAGATGTGTTACAATTCTGTGGGAGGCTTCTCTCATGTCCCCGCATGGGGAGCTGGAGTTGACAGATGGGAGCTCACCCTATCTCATGGATTCGAACCGTCCACCTTCAGCTGGCACAAGGGTTTAACCCATTGTGCCATCGTAGCTCCTGTGTGTGCAAAACTCCAGCAAAGCTAAGATAGCAGCAGCTTTCAACAATATGCAAGGGTTAATTTATTGATTACTGCAACTTGAAAACTGGTTTTCTTTCCAGGAATCTATGTATTTGTGCTTACTTAATTCCCCCCTCACACATTGCTTAGAATCATACAAGTAAGGTTTATCTAATTAAACCTCCATCTGATACATCCTTTTTGCTTAAAGAGCACAGAATTAGAATCAACAAACACTTGATTGTGCTTTTAACTGTCACACAATCCTGTATAAGCCGTCTCTGTGTTAAAATCAGCCACCAGCCCTTTACTCCTCTCACCTGAGATCCCGAAAAATGGTTTCCCAGGATGTAACAAAATGCCTATTGCAAGATCCTGTTCGAAGGAAAACATGCTCAAATTGCTACACAGATCTTGCTTTAATTCTCATTAATATGAGAAGGCACAGATGGCATTAACAAGGCAAGTCTGTAAGCTGCAGCATCTGCTCGGCTACAGAAATAAATACGATTTGCTGGAGACTTCTGCTGGAGACTTCTGATATATAAACCCCTTTTTCCCCAGCTCCAGCAGACCTCACCTCTGAGGATGCTTGCCATAGATGCAGGCGAAACGTCAAGAGAAATGCCTCTAGAACATGGCCATATAGCCCAAAAAAACCCACAAGAACTGAGTGATTCCAGCCATGAAAGCCTTCGACAATACTTCTGATCCTATTTATCAACAAAATGTAAGCCAATCAGAATTAGCAACAGCAAAACACTTTTTCTCCCACTTACCACATAGGAAAACTTAATGAATACACCACGATTATTTACAATGAAGGAGAAATAGTTCCTAATTTTGATGGAGGGGAACAAAATATCAAGATTGCATTCTATTATTGAAACTCTTAAGAAAATTCATATGACATCCACATGCCAGTTCATAGTTTTTGTGTTGTCCCAACATTGTGTCAACGTATGAACTGTGACTATTGAAAATACAGTAGCCTTTCTTCTAGTGTGTTCTATTGTAGCAACTAGAAGAAAGGCCACTGTATTTTTAATAGTGTGTGTTCTATTGTGTCAAAGTGGATTAAACTCTTGTGTCGGCAGAACTGAAAACCAACAGGTTGGAGGTTCAAATCCTGGAAGAACGCTGATGAGCTCCCTTTTGTCAGCTCCAGCTCCCCATGCAGGGACATGAGATAAGCCTCCCACAAGGATGCTAAACATCAACAAATCTGGGCATTCCCTGGGCAGTGTCCTTGCAGATGACCAATTCTCTTACACAGAAGCGACTTGCAGTTTCTCAAGTCGCTCCTGACACACACACACACACAAAAATTGTAGTAACTTCAGAATCATAACAAGCAGCTATTCCTTGCTTCTATCCCTACAGCCTGCTAAAGTGGTACAGAGGTGCTCCATAAAAGGTTTGCCTGTTTCTTTTCTGTTAAATCTTTTGGGAAAATAATTTTGTGAAATTATGTTGCATACCTGTTGTTAAAAATAGTATTTGTCATGGCATTGTACTTGTATTGTCCTCACACTTCAAAGTTACTAGTGTTTCCAGACAAGCCTTAGTGTGTAATCCCTATCAATTCATGACATTTCACAGGCACCCTGCACATTGTTTCATTTTTAACTCTCTGGCATTTTCTTGCCAGCTAGATGTTGGCCCTATTTGCATAAAATGCAAAACTAGAGATTTTAGAGAATACTGGTTTATATATTATGTATTATTATTTTTTGAGTGTATTATACTCACTCTTTAGACAC